TAGTAGCTACTGTTTTAAACTAAGGAATTTCTTTCTAATAATGAATAATCTAAAACTCTCCTTTTAATGGACTGTTTGCTTAGAATGTGTAGTTTTCAAATGTTAGAAACATACCTTGGCTTCAATAGCTAGCTTTTGGATGACTGAAATAACAAAAATACTGAAGTTTCGATAAAGAAAAGCATGTTCATTCTTCTTGGAAATTCTGTTTTTGTTGTTTGAAAAGGATAACAAATGATGCCAGAGAAGATGAAATGGATGAAAATCTTGCTCAAGTAGGAAACATTCTTGGAAATTTAAAAAATATGGCTTTGGATATGGGCAATGAGATTGATGCACAGAATAAGCAAATAGACCGGATAAATGTAAAGGTAAGTGTCAAAGGTATTCTCTGCCTTCAGCCTATGTTGACAACTTCCTGTTACTAAGAAGTGATAAAGAATAGACTCACTCTTATCTTCCAGCATTTGCAGTAAAATACACAATTAAGATCATACAGTCCTGTAGTTGTAGTGATATAAACAATGATCTTAGTGTTCTGTTATGCAGCTGAAAATTCAAATATTTTCAAATTCAAGAATCTTTAAAAATAAAAAAAGTCTTAATATGGTACAGGTAACTTGTTTATTCTAGAAATAATTAATTTGTACTTATCAAACATTCTGACATGCATTGGAAATAAACTGAGGGCCTATTGCTTGCAGGTAATTTTTCTGTGTGTGGGAGAGAATAGTGTGTTTCTTTTGTTACTGTTTGTTAAATAATAGCAACTCTTTTGGAATTACTCTTAAAAACAAACAAAAATCCCACAAACCACGGTCCTTTTCTATTATCAGAAGGTAATTCTTTGTCTTAATTCAAAGTCTCTTGAGGTATGTCCATTAGAAATATGTTCCTGTGCATCTACAAAATCCTATTTTACTCTTATCTGTGCATTACGTTAGTCCCAGACAGTAACATCTTTCTGCATCCCATCGTAACCTGGTGTTAAAGGTAAACTTCCCTAAATGGATAAATAGTATAAGTGTTTTTATAAGGGGCTTTCTTTCAGTGGGCAACTTGTGAGGAAGTTTAGCCATGTTTTAGGAATCCCCATCTTCTGAACTGAATAGAAGCTTTTTAACAGTCTCTCCAATAAAGGGTACAGAAGTTTAATGAATGGTGTGTATGAGACATTTTAAAAAGCAGAAGTGGGTACACATTGCTGTGTACTTATAAAATGAAGTGCAATTGCAGGTCAAAAGGTTTTTCTGAAAAACCCCATAGGATTAACGATATCAAATATACAGAGCCACATAGGCTAGTGTGACATAAATGCTGCTGATATTATTTATGTCAGCATCTCGGTTTTGTCTTAACAGTGAAATTTTATGACTTAGGTCAGGTGTTCTTTATTAGCAGTTCCAGGAAGCACTGCGGATATTTCTACAGTAAGCGCTTCGAAGATCACAGCATTCAGGCTCCATTACATTTCCACAGATAGTACATACTCATCAATTACCTGTGAGATAATTAACATACACACCTATCTCAGGTAGTGATTTATGAGGTTTCCAGTCTTCTATTCCATGGTCTCATCTAGCATCCTTTTAGTACTATGACAGTCCAATCTACAGCCTTTTACTTCATCCAGTAGTCTTCCTCAGTCACTCTCTAGATGAACTTCATGGGTGCGTGCTTAGTAGAAGAATACCTATTATAAGTAATTTATAAGTACGAAAATTGTAACATTTGCTCACTTGGCACTTGGCCTTTTTTCTGGACATCTGTTCATCCTTGGATAGAGATAAGTTTGGCAAGCTGTCTTTTAATGACATATATTGGCATGTTGGAAGATAATGAGGATAGAGGGGAGTATCTTGCATCCCAACCTACTCCCAGAGTGAGACAATTCCTTTTTGTGTGGAGGCCATGGCTGCTTTGATGTTTGACAAGCCTACTCATATTGTTATTGTCTCTTTTGCTGAAGGTCTCATATTAAAACAGAATAGTATTACAGCATGCTTTCTAGTGTATAGTGCTACTTATGTAACTATTCACATTTAAAAGCTATTACAGTTTTGCATGCAAGAACTAATCACATGATACAACAGTTCAACAACTATATTTCTAAAAATATGCTATTAAAATGTATGGTGTAGCTACTTTTTCAAATCAGCTATTTCTAGAAACACGTTATGAAATATATTGTGGCTTCCTACCTTTTCAAATCAATATTTTATATAAAATCTAACTTATAAAAGAAATTGCTTCCTTTATATTTACCATAATACTGCAACTCAGGAGTTTGTGTCAGTTTGAATTCTTAAACTGTTTTGTGTGTGGTTTGCAAATGACCTATACACTTGTCTTTTTCAGGCAGATACAAATAGAGATCGCATTGAGCAAGCCAACATCAGAGCGAAGAAACTCATTGACAATTAGAACCTATTGTAGTTGTTCAGTGACACTGTCTCTCCATCTTCAAGCCACCATATTCATGGATCTGTGAAACTTCTCTACTCTGAAATAAGAGGGGGCTGGGAAAAAATGAAATCTACCTTTTCTATAGGGATTTTTTTTAATTCATGTAGACATGGTTTTTGACTCCAAGAAAGTAGTCAGCGTAACTTTCTTCTACTCATTTGCCTTCACTTTCTTAAACTGCTCAGGGCTGGAAGTGTCATGGCTTTGAGAACCTCCTTGCATGTTTTACTCCCCCTCTCAGTCTCTTTTCTTGCATCCAAAATACAATTCATTACTGAAGTTGAATAAGCAGGGTAATGTGAATTCACAGTTGTGGAAAGCTGGAGAGGGCACTTTGCACTGTTTGAAATACCTCATAACTTGAGTGTCTTCAATGAAATAGGGACTTGGTGAGTATTGTTCGACTTACATCTCTAAGCAGGCTAACCACAGTTTCACAGTTCAAACCACAACTGGTTTGAGGTTGGGCTTATGGACTACAGAATTCAAGAGCCCACTAATTACTACTTCTGGGTTGAGGGCTTTAAAAACACTTCTTAAACACGCAAACTTTAATGTAAAGCTAACTGGAGGGGTATACAGATTTCCATTTCTTTACTGTAAATTGACATTTGGAAGTTATGACTAGGAAACGATGTTCCGTTTTTCTAGTAATGTTTGTGGTATGTGTTGATATATCTGGTCTAAAACCTATGTGCATGTGAGTAGATCACAAAACAAAAAAAGTCCCCAAAGCATTTATTTGACAGAAAACTTTGTCCACAGTCTGAAAGTTAGCTTTGAAGTGTTTAATGCATGTTAACTGGAAGGATCTGAATAGAAACAGAATAGAAAAGCATGCAGCTTTCTCATATCCCATATTGTATTCTGTTTTGGCTAGTTGTTGCTGAAGTTCAGTTCAGGCCTTTCTCCATTGAAATAGAATGACTGAGATTGAGTATGGTTTGTCCTCAGCAGTGACTTTAGGGGAGCTTTTTAAAATTACCAAAAGCAAAGATCATCTTGTTATGATACTACTTTGTCACGGGTCTGGAAGAAGCAGTACATGTATGTAGGATCTGTTTGCTAGTTCCAAATAAACTAGTTCTGAATAGATTCTTGACTAGCTTATTATTTCAGGCCTTGGGACTGGCAGCTGGAAATACTTGATATGAGTTGCTTAAAACTAAAAAGTTCCTATTCTGCTGCAGAATAGAAGACCAGTTGAGTGGAGGTACAGCTGTCATCTCTGTAGTCAAACCAAAATGCTTTTCCGCTTCCAATATACCCAGATTTATTCCCAGGGCTTTTGACAGTCCACAGGTATCTTGTAACCATTAATAGTAAATCCTCGGGCTAAAGAGATTACAGTAACCGCTGAAATGGAGATGTAATGAATGTATGTAACATTTCTGGTTTCCAGTAGAAATACAATTTGTGTATAGTATATTAACTAGTATATTCTCAGTTTGCTCCCAGTACAACCTGATATTAAACAAAAATCAAAGAAAACAACTAACCAAAGGATGGAGCTGCTGCATGTGGTAAATTGGCCAGTGATAGATGTTCTTATGTAAGACACCAATTTTATGGGGTCTGGTTACTTAAATGCTAGATATTGGCTTCTGACGGTTCTTGGAAAGATAATGAATTATAAAAGCTCCTATTGTTAATGCTTAAAAACACAAGTAGCAAAAAAGTACTTATTATAATTTTACTATATGATATTCTTATAACCTTTTGTGTGGGAAAGCACCAGGGATTAGAATTTGTGACATTTTTGGGATGGTCATCTTGTTTTCCTTCCTACAAACTTCAGGTTAACTGAAGGAATATTTGCTGCTGATCACGAAAGCAAAGCATGCATTACCTGTGATCATCATCTGGAACAGAAAACTAAAGCATTTGCCTTATTGTACTTAGAACAGTGCAAGGCTGCTCTGTAGCATCTTGAAATGTTTTTTTTTCCTTGCGACAAGTCTATGTTCTTGATCTTCCCTGAGCATTAAGCACGAATTGGATGAGAGACTGTTGTGATTGGTACACAGAATCTTAATACTGCAATGAATATCACACAAGGAAATAACTCTAAGCTTGAGTATTATGTAAGTATCAATATTTTCTGATGCAGCAAGAGCCAAACCTGTCAGGGAGCTGGTGCTTTAATGTAAATGAACAATGCAGTCTGCTTCTTGAATCATCTTACTGTTGTCTGTAGAATAGATGCTTACTTTCCAAGTTTGTGGGATGTAATCAAAACTTGTACATCTTTATATTTCTGAATACTATTAAGAATGAAGGTTTACAGTTTCTGCTTTTGATTGTTAAACTGCATATTGTGCACAAAATACATACTTTTATAACTGAATGTGTTTTAGAACTATTTTGTCTTATTTAGAAATGTCTTTGTTTAGTTTCCTGTCCTTGAAAAACTTGGCAGAACTAGTTGCTGCTGTTATGCAAATAGGAAGTTTCCCTTCTATTTTTATTTCATAGAAACCCTGATGCTAACACAGGAAGGGAGGTGGCTGGAAGGAGAGGAAAAGACAGATCTGTTTGTTTTGTGTTGTTTTTTAACAATTCAGTTTCCATTCTGGCATAACTGACAATATCACCTAATGTCAATCTATCAGATGTGTCCATCTTTTTTGAAGGACTGATAAGAAATGAGACTACTCTTCAAGATGATGAATACTAGTAACAGATATCAAGCAAGGATCCAGTAGATGAAATACAGAGATCTAACTTTTTGGCAATGCACTTGAAAAGCTATTTGAAATAGTATTTTCTCTGATACTGTAACATCAGATTGGCAGAATGCACTTAAGGATAGAGGGATTACAGATTTGAAACAGTTCTGAGCTTCAAGAAAGAATAGTGGTATCCGGAAATGGCTTGGAAGAATCATTTCTCATATAAAGTTGGGCTGCCTAGCATATTTTTACTAAGAGCTAGGTTAAAAATTTTTAAGAATTGGACAAATGGAGTATATAATTATTCTGAATGTGTTGTAGATGTCCTTTAGGCATATTTATACAGTAATTCATGGTATACTATGAAATTTGAGCTAGCCTACGTCTTCGTGAAAAGTGAGTAAGGTTTTTGACAGGTAGCTATATATGAGCTGCAGTACATATTGCTTGTGCAGTAGCTTGCAAAACTCCCTCCTCTGCAAAGGCTTTGCTGTGGAAAAATGTGCTTATTTGCCTTTGCACTTGAAGTAACAGTACTTTATCTAAATACTAACTGAATAAACAGATGAAAACTGTATATTTATGCAGCTAATAAAAATAATTAGAGAGCAAATGAAATCAGTATGAAATAAAATACCCTAGTTTACAATCAGTTCATTTAACTTTTTCTAACTCAGTAATTTCCAAAGTAAAATGATATATTTTTGTGCATGGAAATAAAATCCTTTTGCATAAGGGGTGAGGAGAAGGGAAAACAGAAATTGCTGATGTAAAACTATTGATAGATTAAGTGTAGTGATGAAGCGTCACTGAACTGGATGCTATTCTGTACTTGAACACATTCATTACTGTGACCTAGAACATGAAATTTTTTTCTTGAAACAAATCCCCTTCTATTTTGATACAGATTTGTATAGTTCAAGACTAACTTGGCAGCATTTAGTATTTTTCATGGTGTGTTTCCCTTTGCTTGATGAAACTTCTGGTAGATGCTGTAACTCCAAGGTAGCAGAAGAGCCATGAGTAACTGAAAGGTTTCTAAATGTACTGGCAATCACATAGACAACAGAAATACTGATGTAGTATCTCAAATATTTCAAAACCACTGAGATTTTTTTTTTTATGGCAGTGCCAACTGACACTTTCTCAAGTATTCTGCTGCTCTTGTTTCCTAATACCTATTACTTTCTGTTCCTGCATACAAATCTTTGACAAATCTCAGACAAAGAATGCTGATAAACAACTTAAGCTTAAGAGGAGCAGCATGCCTGAGAACAAGTATTTTCAGTTTAAAAAAAAAAAAAAAAAGCACCCACAGATCCACGGCATAGTATTGCAAAGTGCATGATATTAATGATAAATTATCCTGTTGTACTGTTAGGTCAGTTGCTCCTGTCCCATGCATTGGGAAATCTGCTAAAATGAAGGGGGGGTTGGTCTGTGGGTGTCTCAAGCACTGCAAGTCTGTAGGAAGAAAGCTTCTGCTTCAAATTGGATTTCAGGTATCAACTGAAAGGAGCTGAACTTGAAACAAGTTTGAGGCTTAACCTATTCACTGCTAAATTTCTGCAAGTTGTCATCTGTGGAGTTTATTAATATAGAGGAACAAGTTTCTGATTATCTGGCCTTGCAATTATTTTGACATGCAAAACAAAGCAGTATAGTAAGCACTGTCTTCCTGTCAGCTACTTCTTGTTTAAGATAGCACCTGGAATGGGGAAGTCCTTAAGTGTAGACCGGTTCCTACTGTCGCCAGCCTGGTTATAATGACAGCAATACTAACAGAAGATGTCTGTCAGACAAGGAACTACTAGCCCAAGAATCTGTACCATCCTTGATCTCTCTAGGTACCTGAGAGCCTCAGATAGGGATGGGGTAGCTCTGATAACTATAAAAACAAACTGTAATAACAGGTAAAAAGTGGAAATTAATCAGAGAATGGTATTGTTTTTGCTTGTTCATTAAAGGGGAGGGGAGAAGCTTTAGGAAAGCAAGAAACTAAAAACAAATGTGGCAGTTACAGGTAGAACAAAAGCTAGCAGTGGCAGGTAGTTGTGTCCTTACCAACCAAAAATATCTTGCTGTCTACTCAAAATGGAACTTCTTTCTTATTACTCCCCTGAGAGAACATCTCTATTCGAGATCTAAGGGATAGACAAGACCTTGGAGTCTGAACACCTAGCTGACTCTGGACTCTACAATGCAAATCATCTCTGAAGTGAAACTTTGTCCTTCATCAACTACCCTCAGTCCTGAGAGCAATTTGGCAAGTATTACAGCAGGCTGGTAACGCTTGAAATAACGTGTGCTTTATTAATTACTTGCTTTAGTGGTGGTAAATAGTAGTAGTCAGTAATTAAAAGCTAAGAAATAAAACACCTGTTCTTGCATATTATAGAATTCTCTAAGTCTACCATTGCAATCTTTATGCACTCATAGTCTGGGGAACTTGCAGGTCATGACACCTGTTTAATGATGGATCATACCCATCCTTTAAATCATTAATTGATGTTCCCCAAAATACTGTAAGAAGTATTACAGTTTAAGAATGAAACAAGACTTCAACGGGACCAGGGAACTCAATATTCCTAAGCATCTTATAAAATAAATGATAACTACAATTAAGATTAGTATATTGAGGAAAAACACTGGCACAGAGGTCACTTCATTTTCTTTTCCTTAGTTGCAGATGGCATAATACATTGACTACATATAATTTTCACACCTGCACCTTCAAGGAGTTGAATGTCTAAATGCCTTTCTTACCACAAGTATGAAAGGTTATGCATAAAACAATAATTACTATATGCAGTGAGACTGGAAGACCATCTGATTAGGAAGAGGTGCATCCATCTTCGTTTGCTAAGAAATGCACCTAGTACAGTTCCTACTTTGCTATTTTGTGCATGTTAACTTAATTGCTACCTAAGTGTTGACTTACTTGACTTCTCTGCTTTTTCAAAGGGTTGAAGTACAACTCTTAACAGCAACTGATGAAACAGTGTATCTGAAGTGGTGGTTTGTAGGACAGCTTAATACTACTGGTAAAAGTGACAACAGCAGCAGGTACACCAAATAAAGCTTGAAATGAGTTTTTGAAAACATTTTACTAAAATAAACAAGTACACTTCCTTCTTTAGAATAAGTTAAATAATTGCATACATCTTCAATTCTGTCTAGGTGCTTTTGGTACTAAGGCAGCAGCAGTAGGGAGACAGCTAAGACTTTCACTAAGAGTCAGTGCAAGGATATTTTCCAGCAGTATACATTTTTACTGAATACACTAAAGGTGAACTTCATTTTTATTTGACATAGCTCAAGCAGTAGAGGACTGTAGTGCAATTCTTACTTATGGGAAAAGAAAGTCTATACAGAGAAGTATGAATGAAGAATGTTCAAGTCATTTGTTTACTAGAGCCAGTTAATAAAAATTAGCTATAACTATCTGTGCTTCATAGAAAAATTTGTATAAGTTAAGAACTAAAACATCTGTGGAAGTTCTCTGTAGAAGAGTTTACTGTAGAAGAGTTACTGCAAAATATACAATGTTTTGAATCTGCTTTGAAAGCAAAACTTCCATGTACTATCATGGAAAGTGATTCTAGGAGAAATAATTCTCTTAGAAATCAATCAGTAGCTTCCTGACAAAGGGAAACTGGCAAATTTGGAATACCCTTTCCCCTTCTCTATGGAAGAACGAGCCCTGACAACAGAGAATGTGTACTGTGTTAAAAAGTTATAGCGGCTCAAAAAGAAAACTGGCCCCTAGGCAGGTTCATCAGTACAGTACCTGTGCTCTCTAGTTCCAGTTTATTCAATGTGGTCTTACCGACTGTATGCAACTAATAGAGAGGATACTCTAATCTCCTTTATCAGTCTTGGTTTATGTCAGTGAAGCGGGTGGCTCAGTCACTAACTTCTTACCAGGGATACACACAACCAGAACAAAATCACGCAAATTTCTTCTTTGTAGCTGTAAACCGTTCCATGTACTACAAAGAAAAACAAAAAAGACATTTAAACAACACTTTAATAAATCTAACCTTTTTCTATCATCTGTTGTAATGGATTGATACTCTAGACTAAGAAACCTTACAAATGCTGAAGTCTAACTGAAGGGTTTTAAGGGTGAACTGATATTAAAGTTAATGATGCTTCCGGTTGTTCTGCAGTCATATCTAAAGAATTCACCAGAAGCTTCTCAAAAAAAAAAAACGTATGTCTATATACAAACCTTGTCATAACCCTCCAGTTCTCTGAGTTTCTTGATTTCAAAGAGGTTGCCTTCAACTGCAAGCAGTGAGATCTGGGAATCACTGAGGATACTCTGAGGAAGCATGCTAAGTTCTAGACAATTTTCTTCTAAACGCAAGACTTTGAGACGTGGACAGTGTGAGATCTGCACTGAGATCTGGGAAATCTGGTAGGAATTTTAAAAAATGGGATTAGAATGTTAGCTATCCATGATTACTTCAAGTGGTCTGTGCTTCAGACTGATATGGAACAAATATCATTTTGCAAAAATAGATTACATTAACAATGACTAATTAGCAGTACATAAGCCATAATAATGTTTAAAGAAAGCCAAGAAACTTATACTCTTCTATAATGAAACTTATATTCTTCTAAAATAGTAAGCAGATTCCTATTCAGTATCTGTCCAAATATTTTCTATATAATTAAATGCAGGATATGTTAGCTGTTAAAATCAGTCAGTTGAATGTATTAGTACACAAATTGTAGTTATGATGCCTCATTTCTTCTGTGCAGAAGAGATGCATCTTCTAGCTCTAAAGTTTTGATTGTGTCAGCCTATGGTCTATGGACAAACTATGTCTAATGTAAACAACTGAGTCCCACATCCACATGCCTATAACATCTGTTACCAGACCTGATTCTGATTCAAATTGAGTTCAATGGCCTGCAGTTCTCCCACACTGTCAGGTACATTCTGGATCTGGTTTTTGGAAAGATCCACCACGTCCAAGTGGCGAAGACCACAAAGTTGTGTAGGCACAGTCCGAAGCTGGTTCCCAGAAAGATTCAAAGTTTTGAGAGCTGAAAGTTGTCCAAATGCAGCTGGTAGCTGCCTCAAGTGATTGCCATTCAAATGCAGTGTTTCCAGTTTTTTCAGTCTACACAGCTCCTCAGGTAGAGCAGCTAGAAATAAATCACACAACAAAGAGATGACCTAAAAAATGAACAGTAAACTTCTGTAACCATTTATGTTAAATTTCTGCATGAAGAACAGTGGTTTATTACAGTAATTTCCCACAGGATTCTTCCACGTTTTCCAATGAAAGCACCGATCCCTGCATAGAAACTTAAACTCGCTAACAAGATGTGCTTTCTAAACATCTTCTAAAAATATCTTAAAAATAATCTCCAGACAAGACAGACCTTCAACCCATAAGCTGAAAATGCTGCTTTGAGGATTGAATGCTATAAATTATACTCTCTACCAGCCCATTTGCTAATGTATTCTATGGCATTTCATCTACCACACAGTTCATAGCCTCAGGTCTGCTGCAGCCATTTAAAGGTATCGCTCCACTCACTCAGTAGTAAATTCTCAAATAAGCTGTACTGTATCAGACCAGCAGAGAAGCCTCAACAGGTAAGCACTGCTACAGTTCATCCTCACTCTATCTACATGTGTCTAACCTGTAACACTCCTGAGTTGCACTACAGAAACAAAGAGGTTTGTAAATTACATTTGTTTTTCAAAAAAGGCAGTTAATACACAATGAACACGCAAAAAAGAGAAAAAAAAAAGGCTTCTTCACTTCAGCCTAATTTTTCCATAAAGGGGCAAAAATTTTGTTTATCATCCAGAAAACTGCAACTCTCATAGCATAAACATAACCTGAATTTTATTGACCTTCCACTCATGTTTGTCCAAAAGAAGCAGCAACAACTAATCAGTGGCCCACAACATTCTCTACAGGTAATCTTCAGCGCCTGTTTTCTAAGCAAATACTAAACCACTTGACACTGTTAAACTTTCAGATCAGACAAGTCAGAGCACACAAACTATACAGTTTTTGTACTTACATGTTATTGTAAAACTGATAATACAACTAAGTTGGCAACTAGTACTGCAGAATTTATGGTTTGATTTTTTCCTGTACATGAATCCCAAAGATTTCAGTTTACATGACTAAGCTTCCCATTTATATCCTGTGAGAGTTAAACCATTACATTTAGTTTCTGATCAGAGAAGTCAGGTACTACTTTAAAAATCTGTGGAGATATTAATTAGCAGGCATACTCAGTTTGTTGTTGTTTAGAACAAGGCTCTTCAAAAGGGAAAATTTTCCAATGAGTGGTGGCAAGAGCTCTATTTTGTTGTTCGACAAATCTATTGTCCTTAAGTTGCTTGTTAGCTTCTGCAGGTCTTCAGGAAACTAGGGTGAAGAAAAAAGATACACTGTCTAAACAGTTGATACAGCTTCACATGTTCAAGTGATAAGCTTTAAAACTTTAAGTGAAAAACATATATTGCTATTACATACTGTAATATGTATCACAATATCTAGACATCGTTGTGTAGAAAGTAGTTGACAAATTTCTTTACTGCATATATTTTCAGCTTTGAATTTTGGCTATCCTGTGAATTTTCGGCAGATTTATAGTCCAAAGATATTCTTTGTTTTTCTGCCATTAAGTCAAAGTCAAGATGACTTCTGCATACTGAAATCCAAGATGCTTGCAGCAATGTGAACATCCTGTACAGGCTACAGTTAAATGCAGCACAAATATCTAAGCATGAAAAATTGCGGAGGATCTTTCTAGGTAGCAATATTGTTGTAAAATTACATTTTTTCCTGAAGTTCCAAGCCTTTTTCTTATTTATTTTTTTTAACAGCACAATGCTGTATCCACTACTTCTTTGGGGTACATTCACTTTTAAGCATAAGATCAGTAGCCTGCAAGTGTCCTGACAGGCAAATCTTCAACCAGAAGACGGTGCAAGCAAAAATCTGCTCTGCCGAGAAGAAAAAAACATTCTTCTGATAACATTATCCATCCCTATTTATAAGAAATACACTATGTGGTGCATTATGACCACACCTAAGTGGGAACTGCTCTTCAGCAGTGTCAGTCCCACCGACAAACGGCCACATGTCCTTATAGGTACGTTACCTCTGTGAGTCCCTTTCCCGTCAGCTGGAACACCCCGGTCTTCTGTGCTGTTTCCAGGTGGGCTTTCAACGCACTGTTTCCCATCCTAACGCTTCTTCTTCGAGTGTACGGAGTCCGAGCGGTGCTTTCAGACAGATTCTCTTATTCTGCGATGGAGGAGCACGACCCAAATTCTGCATCACAAAGCAAAATTGTTCTGACACCCACTTCCCACAGCTCACAGCCCGCACCGAGCCGCAGGCCGCAGCTCCGCCAGGAGCCAAAAGCGACGCGGGGAGCCCCGACGCAGCTCCGTACCGATCCCGACGCGGTCAGGCGGCCGCCGCACCCGCGGGGGTCGCTCACTTCTAAGCCGCCTCACGCCGCGCTTCCCCCTCCCTTCGAAACCTGGAGCGCCAGGAACCCTCACCGGCTCCTCCGGAAGCGGAACCTTGTCAGCCCGCCGTCACACCCGCCGTGGCGGCGGCCCGCCGCCCCCCTTCCGGGTCGCCCAGGATGGCGGAGGGCCGCCGTTTGGTTTCCGCAGCAACGGCGCCCGCCAGCCCCGGGCCCCGCCGAGAGGCACGGCAGGTCTGCTGCAGGCTGAGGCAGAGCGTCTGGCAGAGCGTCGAACCGGTCGGCAGCGACTCCAGCCCCTGCTCCGGCCCCTGCTCCGGCCCCTGGGGGTCGGACGAGCCCACGGAGATCGCGACCGTGCTGGAGGAGTGCGTGGCGGAGGGCTCTGTGAGCCAGGTACGGCGCGGGGCCGCGCGGAGCTCCCGCCAGCGACTCTGCAGCTAAAAGGGAGGATCTTCCGCTGAGGGGGCTTTGAGGCGCTGGCCCAGCTGCCCGCAGAGCCGTGATGCCCCGTTCCCGGAGGCGGTCAAAGCGAGCAAACCAATACCTTAGGAAGTGACTGCAGAGCAGTCCTTTATGATTTGGGGTTTTTTTTAGCTTGTGCTGATGTTCCCAAAGTAACGCTTGTGTTTTATTAGTTGTTTGAAAGAAATTAACTCTGTCTCTCAGGGTGATAGGCTAACGGTAAGTTTAGACTATTAAAAGTCAATATTGAGAATTTGCCTTTGTGCCGCTGACTGTGCCATTTCATGTTGCATTCCTTTCACAGGAGACGTTGGATTTAGCCTGTGAAGAATTTGAATGCTTTGTGAGGTTTTCAGAGAGGGAAAAAATGGCGAAGATTCGAGCAGAAATCAATGAGGTAAGTATGGCCTCCACTTCTGTCAACGCGCACTTAGCACCTCATCTGTACAAGTAATACATGTCACTAATGAGGCATCAGACTGCAGTGTGCCATTGTCAAATGTGTGTGTGTTCTGGAGGCTTACCTGGCATAAAACAAAGAGTGAAATGATTAAATAAGTTCTCAGTGTAACTGGAAAGATGTAGCAGTTTGTGTCTTTGAAGTGTTACCTTTCTGTAGGAACTGAAGAACAAATAAGAGTCTGTAGGTCGCTTACATTCCCCAAAAATGTGTTTCTTTATAGGCAACTGGACCATTTTCTTGGTTAGCAAAAGGTAACCTTAGTCACTTCCTACTGCCTGAGTTGTCTGTTGATTTGTATTTTATGGTGATGTTTTCTGAGCATTTGCTTGCTGGTATGCAGACTGTGTCTGTTGAATTGAGTCATGTAAACTCCAGCAGCTACTGCAAAAGTGTGACAAACTTGGCTTTTAACTTTTTGGAGAATGAATTAACTGGCATTACCCCATATGACTGGCAGAAAGAAAGGACACTTTCAGCTCCTGGTAGAGTGGCTGTGTAGCCTCTTGCTGAAAGGTTATGCTTACAAAGTACCGTCTCTGACAAATGTTCATTGTGCTGTGAGTGAAACAATAATTTTTGTCCTTGCTTGCAAAGGAGCAGTTCTGTGTCCTGAAAGACTTTATTGTTCTGTTCTGTACTTTCTTCAGTCTTTTCCTGTCTAGCCAAAATGACCTGAATTTTCTGCCACAGGAAGATACCTGTTGCTTTTGTGCTCATTTATCGTTAAAAATAATTAAAGCTAAGATTCTCCTGAGAGGTTCTCTCTCAGCTTAAGACAATCAAGACCACAGAACTGTCTTCTCCAAAGGCAGAAAGCTTGGGCTATGAAGTTCTTGAGCAGGATCTGGATTATGAAATTGCTTTGTAGGACTAGTAAGCATCTATGTTTTAGGAATGAGTTGCAGAATCTGTCTTTTGAAGCAGAAGTTCCCAATACATCACCAAATAGTGATTTTCTTGTCTTTGTGTGCTGGTGGTGTTTGGTTTGTTCTTTTTAAACTGTCTTCCTATTAATCAAAAATAGAATCTAAAACTTGAGAGAGCTTGATAGCATGCTGTCATGCATGTGATCAAGCTTTTTCTCACACTTGCACCATCTCCCTTCTTAACTCTCCCTCTCTTTCTTCTTCCCACCTAAAGAGAGACAAAAAATGTGTTTAAGATGCATTTTTATTTTATTTTTGTTGTTGTAGAAGAAACTGGAAACTGAACTTCTGCAATTGGAGCTGGAGACAGCAGACATAGTTCATCCTTTTTATTTAAGTAAGTGTGGTTGTATTGTAAAAACACCAAGAGTCTTAAAGGTGCGTATCAGCAGACTGTTTCATCTGATTACATAGTGCTCATCATGCTTCTAGAAGAGGCTGCAGCTGTTTTCACTGCATAGTTTGTTAAAGGTGACAGGTGTTTTGTTAACTTCCTCCAGAAGAATGCTTGCATAATATTTGAATCTCATCAAAATGACTTAAAGTAGAAGGGGTGTGTGTGGGTGTACGTATTTGTAATCATGTGTCCCTGTGTGTCTTCAGTTTCCCAAATTCAGTGGAGCATTGGGAGTTCTGAAATCATCAGTAATTTGTTTTCCTTCCCTTAATTTGTGTGCAGCTTTGCTGATTTTCCAGTAACCTGATGCACGCATTTCTGCTCCGTCTGTAAGCCCTTAGAATTACCTTGTTTGTTTGTTTGCTTATTTATTTAGGGCTTTTTGTTTGTTTTTCTTTAGTTTTTCTTGGGAGCATAAGGATTAATTTTATTTTATTTTTCTTGCTTTTTCCATTTTGTCTTGATGGATGCTTAAAAAGATTCTAGTTTGCTAATAATGTGTTTTGATAGTGAAGTACATTGTAAAATTGTTATCCTATGGTATAGGTTAAGAAGTGGGTTTACTTAGAGTTACACAAAATGCAAAACAGTCATAAAGCTGTGTCTCTAAAAAGTATGTATGACTATCTTCAAGGTGAGTGTTGATGTTAAGTTCTATACAATCGAGTACAAGTAGCTTGGAGTAATGATATGTTTATTGACTGTAAATTGTCTTGAGTAATAGATCAGAATTTTTTTTCTGCCTTTCTGCTGAAGAAATTTTGCTCTTATTCTAGCAGGACAGCAGTTTCAACTTTGCAATTTTATCTTATAGGTAAAAAATATCAGATATTGCAAGATGTGAACAGACACTTGGAAGCAGTACTGAAAGAGAAGAGAAGACTTAGGCAGAGGCTGATTAAGCCTATATGTCAAGAGACGCTGCCTATTAAGGCTGATTTCCACAAGTAGGCATATAAAAAATAATACTTGTTTGATTGAGTCAAAATTAATTGTAACTCATAGGCAGTAAGCATCATATACTTTAATTCACATCAGTAAGAGGTGAAATGATAGCAGGACCAAAGCTAAAAGCTAAAATTCTATTAACTGCTAAATTCATGGAACAGTAGTGATAATTATTTTTTGTGACAGTTTGCTTAGTTGATTTGTCTTCTGAATATTACACAATGAAAAATAGGTATTTTCAAACGAGTGTGTAAAATGCTCGCTTCGTTATGCTTCTGCATAGGTAAGAATACTATTTCAGCTTTGGTGTTTTTCCGTTATGACTTGCGCAGAAATGTGTGGATGATTCTCAGATTTACATAGTACATGTTTTAAAACTAGTCCTTCTCTAAAAATCTAGTCCTGTTAGTGAAGTGCATACTTGTTTCTGTAATTCCTGCCCTACATGTTGCTGAGAGTTGCAGAAGAATTGTAATTGCACAGAAGTTAATTAGATGACTAGGAACTCAAATAAAACTGGAGGACTAAGAAAACCCGCAGGGAAAACAGGAAAGACTTTGCAAGTATTAAATCCTGCATTGTTTTGCACAACTTAAGAATTCATTCTTGGCTGCAGGTATGTAGTGGAGTTGTTGACTGAGGCTGTGACTTTCATTGAGAAGTTGGAAAACCATTTGCAGACTGTAAAAATGATCCCTCAGGTACCAACTTTCATGAAGAATCTGGTGAGTGGCAAAAAAATAATAATAATTGAGCCTTTCATCTCCTCCAGCATTAAGAATTCAGTGCTGTTTTGTTGCCTAGCATCTTTTTGTTTCCTGCTAGATTGATAGGATGTGTGGAGATTAAATCCCATCCTCTTCTGCTTCAGGACATTGCTTTGACAAAAACAGAAGTGCTGGTGACAGACTTGGAAGAGCTGACTGAGCAAATACTGCAGTGGAGAGAAGTGCAAAAAGAAGTGTATTCTGACAGCATTTGCAATACTGCTGAATTGGACTTGGGCTTATCTACCTAACAAATGATATTGTTCTTCATGTGAGATAATTGCTTGAAGAACTGCCATGCAAGTCTCCTGTGGAAACTGCAACACAGTTGTGCCTTAAGTTAACAGGGATTTTGTAGATAGTTGTATTTATGTTTGACGTTGTAGTTCAGTGTTTTCCAACTAATTGAAAACAAAAACAGATGATAAATGGCTGAGTGGTAGCTTGTAAGTAGTCAACTGCTGAGGGGACTGTTAGAGAGTTCCTCTTTGAAATAGTTGACAGACTCTTTGAGCCTTTATCTTCAGTGCAAATTGGTTGGCTTTAGAACCTCTATTCATTTTTAGAGGTATGTTGATAATACACTGTATTTTGTATGCCATTATAACACTTCAATAAAAGTACTAGATTTTAAGATTTAAGTCTTTATTTTGTTATGGAACTTTGCATTTAAAACAATGATACAGAATGCTATGAAAACTGTAGGGGAACTGTTGGTCACAGCCTGAGCCTCTGATTGAACACCTGAGGCAAGCAGTGAGTCAGCCACGGGAGCACAGGTAAAGGCAATTCACCTGTGCTACCAGCAGGTAGCTCC